ACCATAAAAAGGAACTACTTAATTAGGGGCCTATGGGTAGAAGCTGGAAACCGAAGCTACGTCTGCTCTCGGCTGCCTTCGTCATTGAAGCCAGTACAGCAAGCCCGATTGGTGGGACGCCGCGAGTTCCCGAAGTAAACACATCTCTCCAGGACCGAGGAAATGAGGGTTACGCCCGAGCCTGAGACATCTTCCAGAAGCCTATGCAAGTTTATGACGCGGTCAGCTGCAGTTTCATTGTCCTACCCTCCATGATCAGCAGCAGCAATAACCCCCTCTTATGATGAGGATGATGATCATCGTCATCAACAGTATCGCAACACAAGCTTTTAATTGGACGCTAGCCGCCAGCTTGGATGCGAGCACGTCATCGTTTCCGGCACCATGTGCGCAATGTCCGCATTTGTTTGCTCAACACGTTTACCTAGCATGACATCAACACTCACTCTTCTATGCAAGCAAACATAAATATATACGTACATACGTACGTACGTACATACATACATACAAAGATACATAAACACAAAGACAGTTCGATATGTATATATATGTATATATTTATACATATTTATTTATGTATTTTTTGTATTAAAATTCATATTTATATTCGTTTTTATATTCATATTCATATTCATATTTATATTTATATTTATATAATATAATATATATATATACATAGAGGTTCGTGCTGCTATGTTGCCTAAGGCCTAAGCTGCCCCAAACCATGAATCCGCACCCGCGCACGAATCGACAAGTGCACCGAGTGTAAACCCCTCAGGGCTGAACGCCGAAGCCTCAAGCCCTAAAGCCCCGAAGCCTAAACTGGGCCAGAACCCTACGAAAATCCCAAGCCCCTGAACCCTACAGACTACAGAGCCGAGATGCCTATACCTCTATAACCCCTATATCCTCTCTGTGTTTACGCAAGTGTCTCCAGCAGAGGTCTGGATCTTCGAGCCGACCGAGGTCTTGGAGGCCCTAGACTGGTCACGTTGTTGTCGCGTGTAGGGATTTCCGTGACCCTAGGGTTCCCACAGAGCTAAGAACCACTTCGAGGTTTGCTACAAGGGATGAGGGCTCAGCGGTTAGGATTCTGGGACGTAGGGAGGTCGGAGTCGATCTACAGAGAAGGGTTGAGGATCCAGTACTAAAAGAACATATAGTTTATAGCCTATATCAATCAATCAATCTATCTATCTATCTATCTATCTATCTATCTATCTATATATATATACATACGTACATACATATATGTAGGAATATATTTCAGGATCTTACAGGTTTGGGGGATTCGAGTTCAGGTGTTGGGATTCCGGTTCAGGATTCACGATTGAGGTGGCTGCAACAGAAGATCCTTCCAAGCTCCTCGCGACCCAAAGCCTGAAACTCATAATTACAAGGCAGAGTCCTCGAACATGTCTGCGCGAGGCAGAACAGAAGGAGGCAGAAGAAAAGGCCAAGGACAGCGCTCGGCGACTTGAGTTGAGTGTGCCAGGGAGCGCAGCGTTCAACTGCAACAGTCTGTTCAAGCTGATTGAAGGCTCGTAAGCAATTGATTGGAGCTGCAAAGGCTGCCATGTCAGGTGCCATGGCTGGCGATTTTTGTGCTGTCTGGCAACCTGAGAAACCCGAACAGCAGCCATAGTATTGTAGGTATACATACATACATACATACATACATATTGTATAGTATGGTCGAGTATAGTATATTATAGTGTAGCATCTTGCAGGATATTTGAGTATAGCAGAGTGTACTATATCGAGACTCATAGCACAAGAGCCGCAGCCAGACGGTGCTCGGATTGGGATCATTTCCACTTGAGGCCCTGCGAAGTTCTGAGCGTTTGAAATCGGTTTAGGGTTTCGGGATTTAGGGTTTAGGGTTTAGGGCGCCCGTGAGGAAGCCGCCCAACAGAAGATCCGCAACAAGCCGCCACCTTGTGGACTCTCTTTGTCCAGTTTCTTTCAGTTTTACTGGAGGGCATTGTTCGTGTTGTGGACAGGACATGTAATAAAATCTCCCGAAGGCGTTCACCCAGAGCTCCAGACTACCCCTGTGTCTGCAAGTGCCGAGGTTGGATCAGAAGGCGAAGGAGCTGAAGGTTGCAGAGAAAGCAGCTCCATGTCAGAAGCGAGCAATTCTTAAGAGGTAGGTTAGCCCGTTGCAGTCGCACCCTGATGATTCAAAAGCCCTATAGGCCCGAAACCCTAGCCCCTTTTCTTAGAAGGGCGGCTCTCCTCTTCGCGCTGAACGGCCGTAACAAGTTGCTGAATCCCGATCTACCTAAACCCCGTAACCCCCAGGCCTTAAGTCCTTGAGCACCAGACTACATCAAGTCTATGCTTTAAGGTTTATGAAGTTCAGGGCATCTGCAAAGCTCAGGGGGGGATCATTGTAGACGAAGGAGGCAGGAGGATCCAAGAACGTCGTCTGCTTTTCGCATCCCCTAAGGGTCCATGTACCCAAATACTATATACTTTGGCCCTAATGTACCTATATAGGGACTACTTTAAGGCCAATGTATATACTATATGAGTACATGGACCCTCTGGGATCAAGAAACAAGAAGTACTTCTTCGTCGTCTTTACGGCAACAGCTTGCATGCCCGGGGCTGCTGGCATCTTCCAAGCTTATATTATATTATTACTATTATCTTATATTAAGTTAATTTATATTATATTGTATTATATCAGTGTATATTATATAACATATTACATTATATTATATTGCCACCTCTTGCCTAGGCTGTCGCCCCGAAGGACTTGTTCCAGAACGGCTCGAACAAAGGTCGGTGTGTTTCTCCTTCGCTTTTGATGCGTTAAGCTTTGAATCTGTCCGCTCCATGCGCTGTGACATGTGCCAAGCAAGCTCAGGTATAAGGGCAAAGGGCACGAATGATTTTCGCAGGCGTCTATGCCGACTTTGACGCCGAGGGTGTTCCCACCAAGCTCGCGAACGGCGAGGCCACAGCTTGCATGGGTGATTCTGCTGGTGTTTGTTTTGGGGGGGGTTAGGGTTAAGAAGCTGACTGGGAGTAGGGTTTAGGGTTTAGGGTCATTGCCCAGGATTAGAAGCTAGTGCCAGCGCAGGAAGTGGCAATTGCGAGGGGTGTCAGCGCGCCGATGCGTCAGGGATATGTAGCTCGAGGCTTGTTATCCACATCTTGCACGAGACGATCCTGTGGTCTACATCTTATAGACCCCTAAACCCTAAACCCTAACTAAACCCTCCTTGCGAAGTAGGAGGGAAGAAACCCTAAAACCCATGAACTCAAAGCCCTCCGAGCGCGAGAGCCGAACACCCTAAGCCGAGACAGGAGCTCAGCAAGCAGAAGAGGAAAGACTTGGCCAAGGCTTTGTGCGGCTTTTAGCCGCCTGGGTTGAGGGTTCAGGCTTTAGGGCCCTTGGGCTTTAGGGCTTGTGCTTTGAGGTTTAGGGTTTATGTAGGGTTAGGAACCTTGAAGGTCAGTTGTTGCTTGTTTGCGCCCCCTCCAGATGACTCGGTGTTCCTAAGGAAGTATCTCTCAGTCTTATTATCGTACAACACCCCAAGGGTCTAATCAAAAGATTGCTTGTTTCGGGTCAATGGGGCTTGTAGAACAAAGGGTTAAGAATAGAAGATCTTACAACCGGTTGCTAAACCCTCAAACCCGAACGTTGCAGCAGCCAGAACGCTTGGCTGGAGAAAGTCTTGGCCAGGAGCTGGCCAAGCAGCAGAAAGATTTTGAAAAGCTGCAGAAGCAAGCAGGGGATGCAGGCGTTGACACTTGGCGTTGCTTATGAAACAGCAAATTTGAGCTTGTGCGCAGTTCTAGGTTCAGGTTGCCGAAATCAGGAACACGGATTCAAGTGTTGGGCAGTAGTAGCACAAGCATGTCAGATGATAGCTGAAGAACCGTGGCTGCACCAGCGAGACTTCGTCTTTGCTCGGATGGTCTGGGGCATGTGTCACCAAGCCCGCGCCCCCATTGGGGTTCGTGCACATCAGCAGTAGAAAATGTGTAAATGCCCCTGGACATCAGCACCTGCTAAGTTAGGCCGAACATGACCCAACAGTTCCTGATGACCTGTGTGGGCCAAGGACGCCTATCTTGCAAAGATGAGATCTGAGGTGGCCGAAATGGAGAGACAACTTCAGTAAGCTGTGAGCCAGTCCCAATTACACGTCGAAGCCTCACACACCTTTACATGAACCCGTCCGACCCACGCAGTGCCAAATTCCTCCAGCAATCGGCCTCAGCGAGAGGTGGCTGTCTTGTGGAGCTGGTACTGTGCACGCGCATGGAGTCCTTTCGGAAACTTCTTCTTGTGTTGAGGCATCCGGGAGTCTAGTTTCGTGTAGGTTTGTATTGAAAGGGCATGTTGCGCAGGCCGATCATGAACATGGAATATCGATCCGGCTATCGTCTTTTCTGAATGACAGCAAATGTGGTTAAGTCTCTAAACGGCCTCAAAGTGTGGAGCGGGATCCCCTCTGCCTTCACCCTATAGAAGCCTCGACGAAATCGGGATTCGTGGTCTGCGATTTAGCAAAATTTAGCATTGCAAACTCAACCAGCTTTGAGATCGAAATTGCGCATGCGGGTGTGCCGTGCCTTGCTCTCCCGTAGTGCTGTCGCCAGAAAACCCACTTGTACAGTAGTACAGCCATCTGCCGCCAGCAAAAAGGCTTCACAGAGAGACGATGATGTGCACATTTGGTCTTTGGCTCCGCCCCTTATAAGAATGACAGGTAGCTGATGTAGCTGGCAATGTTTGTTTGCGTCAAAAGCAAGGGCAGGGTCTGCCTTTACAACGGCGAGAGTGACTCAGACGCAGGTTCTTCATCTGTCCGTTTAGGAGCAGTCTCAGACGCAGGAATTCATCATCTAAGGCACCGACAAGCATCGCGACTTGGTTCCAGGCTCAGCTCATTGCCGCAGAGATTCCTTCAGGTCTTCGGGAGGTCACGTGGAAATGCCAGAGACATCACCTGAAGCCCAGGCAACCCGTTGGAGAGCCCCAACATCCCTACCATCTAGATGCGCGTGCCAAGGCTTGAATTCCCTCGGACTTGGCGATCCAGGTGCAAACGGCGATGATTGTTGCACCTCTTCAAGGTTGCGTTCTAACTTCCAGCTATACGAAAGAGTCAGTTTCTGGACTGGAGCTGTGATCAATTGGAAGTCTGCGTTGGAATATGGGTTTCATGTCGGTCAATCGAGTGACGTTTCAGATGTTTCGGTTCTAGGTGTCGTAGATCGGCGTACTTTCAGCGAGTGCATCATCAACAACATCATCGCCGCCGCTGCATTCAACGCAGCCTGCGCCACAACCAGCGCAACCACTGCAACCGCAACACTGCAACCACCACCACCTGTCCAGGCAGCGTCTGCAGCAGTACTGGTTAGCACCGTCATTGGCAGTAGACGTCGTTGCTGTGGTCGGCAGTGTCGAGGATGGTGGGAAGGGGACGGCAGCGGCAGTGGCGGCGGATTTGTCAAGAGTGGTGGCGGTGTGTACCACCCACTACGTCACTACGTTTGCGGCTGCAGTCATAACTGTAGCATTCTGACACCAGCAGGTATGCTCGCTCGGACCAGCAACGGCACTGTCAAGCATGGAGTTAGGCGTCATCGTCTCTTCTTCCATGCTGCATAAACTGCGCTTACACGGAGAGCCATTTCGGAGGAAGCCATGAGAGTGGAAGTATGCATGAATGAAAGCTTGTGAGTCCAAGTCTACTTTATGATAGTCGCGCCTTGCCACGGCTAAGAGGTGCTAAAGAGGTCTTTTCAGACCGAAGAAGGTTTTTTTTTATAAAGACCTTCGTATCCCTGAAGCCCACACTCCTGCCTACAGTTTTCATCTCTTTGTACTTGGGGCTTGCCATCGAAGCCGGCCTCCCGGGAGTGTGGATATCCTTCATTGCAGTATAACATAGTATATTATACAAGAGTAGATTGTAGTGTATTATAATATATATATATAGTATATATACATATATATATATAGTATATAATACTTCATTGTAGTATATGTAGTATCCTTGCCGCTACAGCCGACATCTTTGCACAGGAAGCCAAGTCAGTGACAACAAACTTTTTCGGCCCTTGTTATCAGAGTGACGTACTGCTTGGGTACCCAGAAAGTGACCCTTGCGTGAAGAACTATACCCAAACTCGAGCACCGAAAGCCCCAACCACGCTGCGCCAGGCTCTGAGCGCATACGCGATAGCCTGAAACGCCATTAACACCTGAAGCCCAACCCTAAAGCCCACAAAGCCACCAAAGCCGGACAACCACTCTGGCCGTCCTGAAGCCACAGAACACGCACAGGACCGTATGGACCCCTTGCAGTTAACTTCCATTCATGTCACGCACAACCCCTCACTTGTAAACCTGACACCCCACAGTTCTGAACCCCCTGAGCCCTCACGACGCCCTCTTCATCCCTGTCTCAATCCCGGTACATCACCCGCAAGCCCTAAACCTTCAAACCGCACCAGCAATCCAATGGTTGCCGATCGGTTGAGCTATGGACCGCGCCGCCGCTTTGGCTCTGATCCAAGAAGATGGCCTCAAGCTTAGATCCTCGCCTTTGTTAATGCTTGTACAGAGTCCTGCAGGAGGTTTAGGCCTTTGGGGTTTGAGGACCATTTTTGGGCTGTCAGACTATAGGCTTTGGCGCTTTTGGCACTCAGGGGGGTTTAGGGTTTAGGATGTGGTGCTCGGAGTTTTGCTGGCTTCCTGGCTGGCTTTCGTCCTTCGAGTTGTTGTTTTCGCTTGATTTTGGTTAAACCCCTAAACCCCTAAACCCTAAACACTACTGGAATAAGTCTTATAGAATCCAAAAAAAAACCAATGACCAGGAGCTCGGAGTGGATAGCTCCAAAATTGACTTGCAAGCCCAAACCCTAAAGACCTACGGCGCTGCGGTCCCACCTTTTTAAAGGAGGCCTGAATCCCAAAATCAAGCCTTGATTCTTAAGCTCATGCAAATGCTCATACGTACTTGGGGGTTGCAGCAAGCGACATTCAAAAGGTGTGACCGCACAATGTCACACTTGCACTTGCTGGGTTTCCTCCTGAGCCATGACCGACAGTGTCGGGAGCAGGCATGCACCAAAGCCACGGTCTGAGGTCTGCAGCCCCACATGACCGCCCACCCAGCAGGGTTTTAGAATTCGGAGACATGCACCAAAGGAAGACAAAGCAACATGACCACAATGATAGCCTGGCAGCCCAGGATCCCTCAACAATGAGTTGCGCAACGACAAGGACTGACTGCCTTATGGGGCCGTTTGCATCGAAGCAGCTGAGAAAGATGGGCTGCCAAAGAAGCGCCTCCTTGAGAAGGGTTCGGTTTGATACTGTAAAATGCAACTGAACTTGGTCGAACTCCAGCAGATACCCTCGCAAGGGCAAACCTGTCGTATGGCAGAGAGCCAGAGAGGTTGCCAATTTGACTAGGGCCAGGGTCGCAATGCAAGATAGAGACGTCCAGAAATGACTACCAGCTTCAAGAATTCTCAGCTAGTACAGCTGCACTGCTTTTGCAGAAAGTTCCTCAGGCGCAGATGCCCTTGCAAAAACATCCAAGGCTTTGTACTCCAGGAACCTCGCTTCCGTTTTGTTTTTTGACCCCATGTCGTGAACCCAGGAGCTTGTGTTGCAAGCGGTGTCGAACTCCGGCTCTGCGTTGCGCTACGATGCTCGTCGCATCAAATGTGCTAGTAGCCAATAGAGCTTATAACGCCTGGGGTAAATAAAGCATCGGGGCTCATCATAGCATGTCTCCTTGTTTGATGACCGGGGGATTGTCCGAGGTTCCGCAGCAAGAAAGGACGGACTGTGCAGGAATCAGGGCTTTCACTTTAACTTTTTTGGGGGGCAGTCAATGTGTCGTTGCCACAGGCTGGCCAGCCTGGCAGTCGCGGTGGCAGTAACCAGTTCCTATCATGACTGCTGCTACTAGGAAAATAGAAGCTGGAATGATCAGCAACATTATTATTCACGGTCCGTTATTCTAACTTTACTACTTTATCTGCCCCATGCACGACCCTATTTTGAGTAATTATGGCTCCTGCAGGTTCTTGTGCGGAGCTTTCGCCTTTTCAGGGCAATCCCTGACAGAAGGGTTTCAGGTTTATGGCTTTGGGGCTTAGGGCCGAGGGCTTCAGGATGATGGGCTGTGGGTTTTGGGGCGTTGAGTCTAAATACCGCTATGCTAAGCCCCGGGAATATAGACCGGAACCGGAACAGTAGAATTCCCATAACAAGTACATGGCAAAAGACTTCAGAACCCTGCTCTGATCCTCCAGGCCCCAAATATCAGAGCCTAGAAGATCCCAAGCTACAAAGAATCTTTGTATACCCTAGAATCCGCTATACAAACAGTGTTCTACTCTAATGCAGATCATCTACATCTTTCCCTAAACCCTAAACCCTAACCCCTAACCCTCCCCCCCCTTCCGCAACCTGAAGGCCTCGCAGGTGCTCCGCGGGGACGTTGAGGCAGGGCGGTTTAGGGTTTCTGGGTTGAGGGTTTATAGGGTTTAGGGGTTTTGGGCTTTAGGATTTATGGTTTAGGGTTCAGAATTTCGGGTTTAGCGGTTTCGGATGTAGGGGTCTATAGGATTTCCCCACTCTTTCGTCTTGGGGGGCTTGGGTTTGGAGTTCACGGTAGTTTCATCGCTGCGTTTCGGGGTCATGTCGGCCTTGAAGCTGTCAAGGGTTCAGGGAGTCGTTTTTGTTGCTTCAGCACTGTATCCCGTGCCTTTAGGGAGCCGGTCTAAGAACAGGAGTTGTCCTGACTTCCACGAGCTACTCTCCCTGAGCCCCGGAACATCCGACATGCTCAGCCTAACCTTAAGCCAGAAGCTTGCCTAAACCCTGAACCCTAAGCCCTATCAAACCTCGCTAGTGGGCATAGAACCTTAGCCATTCGAGAGGGAAAAAAAGCCCTATATAAACCCTAAACCCTAAACCAAAGAGTGCGGAAGGAGAGGAACGCCTTTTGTCCTGGGATGGAGTTTTGTGAGATTGAGCGAAAGCTACGGGCTCTGCCGTGGTTCTTCGGCTTGCTCTGTCTTCTGCTCCGACCGTTAGAGAGAACTAAACA